TTTTTTTAAAAAAGAAGACAGACAGATGGACAGCACACAATAGAAAAGATGTCCAACATCACTCATCATCAGGAAAATGCAAATCGAAACCACAGTGAGTTACCACCTCACATCTGTCAGGATGGTTTTATGAAAAAGTCAACAGCTTTCCCTGCCTGACGCCGCCGAGGTCGCACGCGCCAGGTGTCTCTGCCGCCGCCGAGATGCGAGATGCGCTCCGTTGCCTCCTACCTGCTGGCCGCCCTCGGGGGCAACGCCTCCCCCAGCGCCAAGGACATCAAGAAGATCCTGGACAGCGTGGGCATCCAGGCGGACCACGACCAGCTCAACAAGGTCATCAGTGAGCTCAATGGGAAAAACATCGAAGATGTCATCGCTCAGCGTAGGGGCGAGCTGGCCAGAGTTCCGGCCGGCGGGGCTGCGGCCGTCTCAGCCGCCCGGGGCCTGCAGCTCCTGCTGCTGGTTCTGCCCCAGCTGCAGCAGAGGAGGAGAAAGACGAGAAGAAGGAGGAGTCCGACCAGTCGGAGACAACATGGGATTTGGCTTGTTTGATTAGAGTCTCATTGCCTACAAATAAAACCCTTTTTATGTAAAAAAAAAAAAAAAAGAAAAAGTCCACAAATGACAAGTGTTGAGAAGGATGTGGGAAAGGGAACCCTCAGGCACTGTTGGTGGGACTGCTAGTTAGTGCAGCCACTATATAAAGCAGCAGGAGAGTCCTCAAAAAGCTAAAAGTAGTACCGCCATCGGACCCAGCAATTACACTTCTGGGTGTTTATGTAAAGAAAACAAAAACACTAATTCAAAACATTTATGCTGTGTTCACTGCAGCATAAATGAAACAAAACAAAATTACTCATAGAAACAAAGACCAAACTGATGGTTGCCAGCGCGGGTGGTGGTGAAGAAATAGGTAAAAAAAAGTGAGGGGAAATAGAGTCACTACCAGCGTGACAAGTTGCACAATGACAGGTGGTGACCAATGACAGGTAGTGCGATGACCACATAGTAATATATACAAATGTACAATCACTATGTTGTACACCTGGAACTAATATAATATTGTATACTGACTATACTTAAATACACACACACACACACACACACACACACACACACAGCTGGTTGAGTTATAAATAAAGGCAAACAAAAATGGCCATAAAACAGAATAGTTGTTACCCCTAGAAGGCCTGGTGGGTGTGGTGACTGAAAACAAGTACATGGTAGAGGGTGGATGGGTGGGGGCTGGAGATATTTTATTTTTGACCTGAATATATGCACTTTCCTCCCCCCACCCAAAAATAACAGTACATAAATTTTTTAGCTTTTAACTCACACCATACTTTAACAGTTCAGCCCCAAGATGTGTTAAACATTTAATATGTTGCAAAGAAATGTGGCGACAATTTAACAGATAAGAAATCTTTCACTATTGACATAACCTGAAGTGCATCATTCAATAGCTGTTTCCCATCCCCAGTCAGAGACACCCTAACACACACACACACACACACACACACACGCACGCACGCACACATGCACATGCACACACACGTACACATGCGCACACACACACATGCACACACACACACATGCCTGCATCTGGTACTGGAAGAACACTCTTCCACTAAAGCTTTAACACCATCAAAGCCACTTGGGGCAAGAAGGAGAATCAAATACCAAAGAAATTAAGAAAAGTTCTATGTCAACAGAAAGCAGATGCTGTGTTGAGAGTCAACTAAATTATTCTTTTACGTGTCTTTCTCACAAATAAAACATCAAAATATGAATGTTTAGGAAAAGAATGTAGAAGTAAATTAGAAATATTATTTAAAAATATTTTTTCTTTATTGATTTTTAGAGAGAGAGGGGAGAGGGAGAAAGAGATAGAAACATTGATGAAAGAGAACACTGATTGGCTGCCTCCTGCATGCCCCCCACTGGGGACCAGGCCCACAACCTGGACATGTGCCCTGGCTGGGAATTGAACTGGTGACCTCTTGGTGTATGGGTTGATGCTCAACCACTGAGCCACACGGGCTGGGCTGGAAATATTATAATTTTATTAATTTAATTTTATTATTTTATCCTCACCAGAGGATATTTTTGCATTTATCTTCAGACAGAGCGGGAGGGAGAGGGGGAGGAAGAGAGAGAGAAACATCGATGTGAGAGAGACACATTGACTGATTGCTACCCACATGACCCCAACCGGGGCTGGGGACAAACTGCAACTGAGGTATGTGCCCTAAGCGGAAACCAAACCCCAGTCTCTCTGGACTGCGGGCTGGTGCTCTAACTGCTGAGCCAAACCGGCCAGGGCTATTTATTTTTTAATCCTCACCTGAGGATATTTTTCTATTTATCATCAGATAGAATGGGAGGGAGAGAGAGAGAAATGGAGAGAGAGAGAAACATCTTTGTGAGAGACACACATCGATTTGTTGCCTCCTGCACGACCTGACCAGGGTGGGGGATGAACCGCAACTGAGGTACATGCCCTTGACTGGAATCAAACCTGTGACTGTAGGCTGACAGTGAGCCAAACTGTCCAGGGCTAGAAATATTATTTGATAAGCAAAACTCATGAAGAACAAGACACATAGGCCTTATCTACTACTTGCAAGTCTGTAACCTCAAAAAACTTGCAACTGGTAGGAAAACAAGCCCTGAAGATCTAATGCACAGCATAGAGATCACAGGCAACAACACTGTGCTATGGACTTCAAAGATGCTGAGACTAGACCTTCACTGTTCTCAACTCAGAAAAGAAATAATGATCATGTGAGCAGTCGAGCAGTTAGCTAATGCTACAATGGTAACAGTACTACAATACATAAATGTATCAAATCCACAATGTACATCTTAAACCTATACAATGCTATGTGTCAGCTATATTTCACTTTAAAAAGAAAAAGATAAAAGAGCACATGTCCTGGCAGCTGTTTCTCAGTGGTCAGAGTGTTAGTCAGCACAAGAAGGGTATTGGGTTTGATTCCGGTCTAGGGCACATACTTGGGTTGCAGGTTTCATCCCCGGCCCTGGTTAGGGTGTGTGCAGGAGGCAACCAATGCTTGTATTTCTCTCACATTGATGTTTCCCTCTTTCTCTCTCCCCTCCTCCCTCCATCTCTTCTACTCTCTCTAAAAATCAATGAGAAAAGCATATCCTCAGGTGAGGATTAATGACAACAACAAAAAACCTGACAATTTCTTCCCGTTGAGTTACCTTGGCACCTTTATTTAACCTCCATTGACCAGAAGAGTGAAGGTTTGGTTTTGCAGCTCCAATTCTGTTCCATTGATCTTTATGCCGGCCCCACACTCTCCAGCACTTTAGCTTTATTGGAAACCTCGAAGTCAGGTAGTGTAAGTCCTCCAGTTTGTTTCTGTGATTTCAGGTTATTGTTCTCAAAGAACGAGGTAGAAAGTATTACTTCCCCCCACTCTGTTTTCTGAAAGAGTTTATGTGCAATTGGTAATCCCCGCCCCCCCCCCCCCCCCCCCAAATATCGGGTAGAAAGGATCAGAGTAGCCTTCTGGGCCTGAGATTTCCTTCTGAAAAAAAATTTTTTTAAATTGTAAGCTGAGCCTAAAATATGGAAATTTGGAGGACTTAGAGTGGTCAAAATATTTTAAAAAATAGAATCTGAAATCATAGACTGAAAAGGCCATCACATGAGACTATCATTAACCAATATCCTTTGTGAACACAGAGAAAAATCCATGAAAAATATCAGCCAATAAAATCCAGAATAAGTACACAGAATTCTACATAAAACTAAGTGAGATTCATTCCAGGAACACCAGGTTCTTTCCACATTGAGAATCGATTATAATAACAACGTGCCCCACGTCTCTCTGTCATCACAGGCTGTGGCCTCTCCTCTGCCCCGGGCCTGGCTTTCTGAGAGCAGCCGTCATGGGAGGCCTGGATTCCTAGAGGAGCCTGCGGCATCTGAGTTTGGAAAAGCACATGGGAAAATGTCTGTCAAGCAGTTTGAGATTCCACCTGGCTGGTCCTTGTCCTGGTCCTTGGTGTGGCCAGATTAGGGATGTCTGGGGACAGCAGGGGCCCCAGGCCCACTCAGACGTCCGGATGGTTCTGGTTGGAGCTCATTGACTGGACAATGTGCATTGAGCTCCTACTGCCAGCAGGCACTTTGGAGACACTTAGTCTGACTCAGGGAATGAAGCAGACACAGTGCCTGGGCCTCAGTTCTAGTCAGTGAGTCAGACTGTCACACTAGACGTCATTCCCAGGTGCTGCCCACCTTCCATCAAATCTGATGCCATCCAAGTGTTCTCTACATCTGGAAATATGCAGCCATATAACGACCAGGGTGACACACCCCAGGACCAATTGAAAAAGTGAGTGGTCTTTGGGTCCAGAAGGAGGAGGGTCTCCTGTGTCAACAGGATGAGGGCTGTGGGTGGACAGGGGCTGGCAGAACCCTAATCTTACACGTCTGCTGATTCCCAAGGGAGGGCTGAGGTCTGGTGGCTTCCACTCCAGGAGGACAGGGTCAGAGAGCACTGTGGGTGGGCTCCCTGGCCTCTTATAACCAGAGGGGAGGCTGGGTGAGCTGTCCCCAGGAGTCCCATCCCCACCACAGACCATCCTGCTCTGCCTGCTTTCTCTGCACCCACTCCCCTGACCACCATCGCCAGGCCCAGAACAGGACGTGGGGAGCAGGCTGCTCACACCCTGTCTCAGTCCTCAGTCCAGGTGCCCAGTGCTCAGAGGGCTGGATGGGCAGTGCACAGGCCTCCAGGACAGCTGTTGGGGGGAAGAGGAGACTCACACAGACTCCGTGTTAGCCTGCTCGGTCACCAGGCCTGCGACTCCCAGGACAGCCCCAGGGGCAGGGGATGGCATGGGGCTGACCCCTGGATGGGCCGGGCAGGCATATGGGCCCCGTCTGAAGCAGGGTGCCATGGGAGGGCCGTGCGGGAGGAAAGACCAGGACTCTGACCCCGCTGCCCTCCTGCCTCCCCCAGGGCCGTAGCTTCTGTGATGGGAGCCTGGCCGGACCAGATACAATATGTCGGCCAGCCCCTGCTTCTCCCCTGGTTCACCCTGAAGCAGGCCCTCGTGCAGGGCCACCTCCCTGCCTCACACCCGCTGGGCCACGTGCTCAGCCTCTGGGTGGAGCTGGAGCATCTGGAGCCCACGGAGGCAGAGCTGGAAGGTGAGGGGCCTGCAGTCTGGGAAGACGGGCGGGGTGGGTGGCTCAGGGGCCGCAGATCCCCTGGGGGCAGTGGCATCTTTCCGTCTCTGGGGGGGCACGGGAAAGCCAGGCCTGTGTGTGAACTGTCTCTTCAGCTGCTCCAGAGGCTCCCCCAGAGCCCCAGCGCGCTCCAGAGCCCGAGGAGGGGCCTGCCCAGGGGCCCGTGCCCGGTCCCGCTGTGCCAGTGATGGAGCCAGTGTCACCTCCCTCAGCCCCTGGGGACCTGGGGCCAGCACCCGCCTCAACCTCCACCCCAGGGCCGGCTCTCCAGCAGGAGCCTCCTGCACCACCAGCTCTGATCCGAATGCCAACAACAGAGCCAGCTCCATGCCCAGCACTGGACCACCCCCCGGCTGGGACCACTAAGCACCTGATAAAGGAGGAGAAGCGTAACATCCTGAGCTTCCCTCCAAGACTGGTGGCCGAGCAGCTGACAGTGATGGACGCGGTGAGCAGTGGGGCTCTCGGGGAGAGTGGGGGGCAGGCCTTCCCTCTGCCCTCAGCTGCCCCGACCTGCCTTTTCTGATCCGAACTCCCGTGATCTGGATCCAAATTGCAGCTCCCCCCCTGACCTCCCGTGGGTCCTGGGTAACTTTCTCAACCCCCAAGCCTCGCGGCCCACCTGTGGACAGTGGGGGTGGACACGCGCAGCATCAGCTGCTCAGAGTGGCTGCAGATTCCAGGAGGCAGATCAGACAGAAAGCTGGGCGGGTCCTGGCCCGGTAGGTGGGAGGGGAGCTCACTGCGCGCAGCCAGGGCCCTGGGGCGCCATCAGGCGCAGGAGGCAGCTGCTTCTGCTCTAGAAGGAGGCGAACATTGGGAGTCTTTGGGTGTGCACCGAAAGACAGGAGCAAGGGGAAAACACCCCCCCCCAGCTCTTCCCAAGGCCGATTTGTCCACGGGAGGGGCAATGTTTCCTTGTCATAAGTAGGATTTGGAGTCTGCAGTTGCAAACATGTCAGGGGTAGGACAAGGCTTTATGGACAAGGCGGGCATTGACAGCGCCTCCTCCAGGGAGTTATCCTGGTCTATATAAGTCAGCCTCCCTCTGGCTCTGAGAGCACTGTCCTTTCCCCGGACGATGGCGTTTTCCCGGTGGAGCTGAAACACCGAAGATGAAAGACCGGACATGTCTGCCTACCGCGGGCAGAGCTGTGCGTGCTGGACAAAGTGTCTTCCTCCACCGCACCCCACCTGGGGATTCCTGTTGGCGTTGAATTGGCACCAGTGATCATGGTTGACAGTCCGGGGCACCCAATGTGCGGCTCTGAGGTGACGATCTGATCTCCTGACACCATCCTGAAGCCAATGCACCTGGCGCCTTGTCTGCCCCGTGGCACCGAGGGTCTCAGGTAAGTGCCCGCAGAGCCAAGCCCTCCCTCACCAGTGGCTGAGGCCTCAGAGACTTTATTCAGCCTAGGAAGGACCCCTCATTGGGTGACCTGGGTTCATAAGTTTAGACCAGGAGCGCCCCTCCCTGTGGGGCGGATGTGCTGCCGAGCAGGGATACCCCTCGGTTGTGTTCGGCACCAGGAGGGCATCACCCAGCGAGGGCTTTTCTCTGCTGCATTTGGGACCAGGGAGCGTGTGCTCCAGTTAGATTTGGTACGAACAAAGCTATCCTGCAGGTTGGGACTGGGCCTTGTCCTTAAAGTTTGTGAGGACACGCCTCTAACAGGTATGGAAAGGGCAATTTCAGGAGTGCAAAATGGGTAAGCCATGCCCTAAAAGTTCACATGCTAATCAGCCACTGTCACAGGCTTTGGTTGATTATATGAACCATAATTATGGTTCTGACAATTGCAGTTGGTTAAGCCTCTGGACAGAAGTCACACGAGATGATCTCAAGCTTTGTTGGCCAAGATGGGGCTCCTTTGAAACCCCAAAGCTGGTTTATTTGCATGTTCAATCAGAACAAAAAAAAATAGTGTACCTCCCAGAAACAATGGGAGCCTTTTATTTTTCAAGTGGTAACTTGAGAGCTCTAAATAAAATCAAAGGTCTACTATTGCCTCCCTAAGAAAAAGTAATTCTAAAATTGGGTAAATGCCTTGATAAATTAAAGAGGAAACTGGTGCTAGTGAAACAGGAACAAAAGAGGGATCCTTGGAAAACTTTTCCTCTGACCCTTGCCCTTGCAACATTAAAACCAGGTATTAAAAAAAATCCTCGGAAGGTCCCTCACTGACCAGCATCCCCTCGCCTGCTGCAGCTGCCCGCCCTCTGCACCTTTCTTTTCGTCTGCATCTTCTTTGTCTCCAGATGGGAGCAGCGACCCGAGGCTCTGGCTTCCCCTCTGGCTGGAGCCATCGTTCAATCTTCTGCTCCAGGAAAATCTGCGCCTTTTAAAACTCAGGCTTTTACTTCCTGAGATTTCCAACTTGCCTTCTAGTTGATGTCTGTGTTTGTTGGTAAGCACAAACACAAAAACACAAAAAGTTTCTTAAGGAGAAACTTTAAAGGAGAGAACCTCAAACCTCTCAGCAACAATAGAATGCAGTCTTTGATTTTAAAAACATCTTTTTTTTATCCTCACCCAAGGACACTTTTCCAGTTTTTGTTCAGATAGAGTGGGAGGGAGAGAGAGGGAGAGAGAGGGAGAGAGAGAGAGAGAGAGAGAGAGAGAGAGAGAGAGAGAGAGACATCGACGTGAAAGGGACAGGTTGAATGGCCACGACCCCAACTAGGGCCGGGGACAAACTGCAACCGAGGTAGGTGCCCTTAGCAGGAACGGAACCTGGGTCTCTCTGGGCCACAGGTCAACGCTCTAACCGCTGAGTAAAACTGGCCAGGGCAGATTTTAAAAACATCTTTAAAAGAATTCATACAGCATGCAAAATCTTGGACCATCTGAGAAAAACCTCAACCTGGTCCATCTGCCAGATCCATCATTTTTCTTTTGCATTTCGTATAATTGTGCTGTCTGTGTGTTTATGTGTGTCTATGTCTGTCTGTTATACATATGGTATATTTCTATTGCTAGATAGTGTTGTAGGATAATGAAAAACTAGGAAAATTCTGGGACAAGTGGAATAGGGAAACTGAGGCAGGAAAATTAAACAAAGCCAAAAAGCTTACAGGCAGCTTGTAGCAAGACCTTGTCTTGAGAACAAAGGCTTAAAACCTCTTCTCACAGAATAATGCAGGAGAGGAGGGTGAAGGGAAGAGGGGGAAGGGAGGAGGAATCAGAGACTACTTAGTGCAAATCATCCGGGAGTTGTTAAAACAGCAGGGAGGAGGGAAGAGAAGAGTATAAACAGAAAGCCAGCAGTTGGGATCTAATTGCCAGGTACTTCCCATAAAGTGTGGGAAAGTCATAACAAAGATAAGGGGAGACTTTTAGAGTTAATCTGTACCAGGATATCTAGCAGAGGGGAAAAAAAACAAACAAAAAAACACTTACAGACAGCAGGTATATAAGGCAGAAACCCCCACCCCTCTAGCTCTTCAGACTAGCTGGGAGCCCATCTGTGCTTCATAAACCAGATGGATAGGTTTGCTTGCCTTGCTTTGTTAATAAATGTGCATGCTTAAATTTTTAAAGTAAATTCACTTGCTTTAATGTTTTAATAGATTCACTGAACACAATGCAAATATAATCTATAGCCTCTCATTTAAATTCCTTTATATGAGAAGACAAGGATCGCGGTTGAGGAAGCTGCTCCCTCTGACTCAGGGGCTGTTCAGTAACACCTCTCTGGTGTCTGTGAGAGGTGTCTGTCACAATAGTATTGCCAAAATTGATTTGTAAATTCAAATTTAGATTGTAAAAGGGCCAAATTCATTTGGTGTAGAACAAACTGGAGAAATAACAGAATCTAACATATTGTGTGTTTTATTTTATATCCTCACCCAAGGACATTTTTCCATTTTTTGTTCAGGTAGAGTGGGAGGGAGAGAGAGGAAGAGAGAGAGAGAAACATCGACGTGGAAGGGACACATTGAATGGCTGCCTTCCGCACAACCCAACCAGGGCCGGGACAAACTGCAACCGAGGTACATGCCCTTAGTGGGAACCGAACCCTGGTCTCTCTGGACTGCAGGCTGACGCTCTAACTGTTGAGCCAAACTGGCCAGGGCCACAATTGTATTTTAAGTGCATATGATTTAGGATTAATCTTTAGTAACTAAAAACTAGCTTAAGGATGTTGGTTTAATTAAGGACACGCAGTTGTCCACTGCTCTCTAGCTTTGGAGCTAGTAGACCAGAAGGGAAACCGGGTAATAACTTTGGAGACCTTAGTGTGTCATTGTACAAGGCTAGAAGGTGCAAGACGCCTCTGATTAAGATCCAGAGCCTTGTGATAAAGCCTGACTAGGATGTTATGGGATTGGAATTATAGAGAGTAAGATTGTGTTTGGTAAAAGAAGGCATGAGGAATGGAAATACATTTTTATTGAAGGAAGAAGTAATTTTGTCCTACAGTAAATGATTGATCTAGAATAAGAAAGGAAAAAGGGCAAATGCTGAAAAGTTCATGGAAGTTGCAGAAAGTCTGTATGTTGTAGAAGATTCATGGAAAAGGAATATTGAAAAGGAAATCTTATGTATGGTCAAACTGCGGTTAGAATGAATTGAAGTTGATTTCAAAAGTACACTGATATAGTATTGGAAGTTGGGTTTCTCTCTGTTAAAAGGACAAAAGTGTATACTATTGATATATTCTTTTTTTTTAAATATATTTTTTCTTTATTGATTTCAGGGACAGAGAAAGGAAAAAGGAGATAGAAACATCAATGAAAGAGAACATTGACTGGCTGCCTCCTGCATGCCCCCCACTGGGGACTGGGCCCACAATCTGGGCACGTGCTCTGATTGGGAATTGAACTGGTGACCTCTTGCTGCAGGGGTCGACATTCAACCACTGAGCCACACTGGCTGGGCTATTGATATGTTCTTAATAGGAAATTATAAACAGAAAATAAAGATTTTACATGTTCTCTCTCCATCATCAGGTTTTTATTGCTTAGGTGAACCAAACTATCATATTTAAAGAGCTAAATTTTGCTTCTAACCATTTACTTCTTTATCTTTGCTTGTGAAGTTTTTGAGTGAATGATTAAACAAATAACTAAAATAAGGGAATCTCTCTTTAGAAAAGGGAGAAATGAAACTAATAAGATAGGATGACACTAATTAGGCCTGATTGAGGTTTGCAAAGTAGGATTCAATACAATTGGTCCCCTCAAGGATAAAAATGTATTAATCTGTGTGTATTCTCTGTATGCATTCTCACTGGGTGGAAGCATTTCATGTCGAAGGGCTACAGTGCCACAGTTACTAAACTGCTTCTAGAAAGGGTTTTTCCTGCTTGGAAAATCCCAGAGTGTGCAAAACTTGGCTGATATTGCAGCATTTCCATTGTATTTATCATTTCTAGTTGTCTGGTTTTAAAGAACAAAATGACAAGGTAGTTAAAATTCAACTGGTAGAACTTCTTGAATCTTTTCATCTGCCTTGGCCTGAAGCCCTTCCCTTGGTATTGCTTAATCTAGTATCTATTCCCTTTGGTAAACATCAATTTT